CACCCTGTGGAGTTGGGATGATATGACCAGAGATGGTCAGGTTCCTACCATTTGATAAGTGGGTTTGGACTGTTACATCTCTGGTATAGAAAATAGAGAGAAAGAGAGGTTTTTTGATGGTTTTCATCTTTAGGTCTGGATTTCTCTCTTAAGATGCACATCGTTTGCTTGGTCATCTGCATTTTGGTGATGACTTGAGCTACATCTGTTCATCACATTTGATATCGGTTCTAAGGAAATGTTTTGTCTTGACCTCTCTGGTTTGCATTGCCTGTTGAAAAATCAATTAAATAAAGTTTTCAAAAGTGCCTGCAATAGATTCATGTCATTAGATTATGATTTCACTGAACTACTTGAATAACTTATGCTCAGTTTAGTGAAAAGTTACGCTATGTGAGAATAATTGGTTATTACAATTGGTCTTTGTCTTGTTACTTGTTATTATTTGGTTTTCTTACATCCTGGAAACTTTAGATATGGCCAGAGATGGTCAGGTTCCTACCCTTTGACAAGTGGATTTGAACTGTTACATCTCTGGCAAAGAAAATAGAGAGAAGGAAAGGCTTTTTGATGGTTTCCATCTTCTGGTCTGGAATTTTCTCTGAAGGTGTTCATCGTTTGCTTGGTCGTCTTCATTTGTGATGACATGGGCTACATCTGTCCCCCACAACTAAATTCTTTTTTCATTAAAACATTTCTCTTTAGCTCCCATATCCAGTCAGATAATGCACTTACCGTTTATACGAGATGGACTTATTTTGTCATAATTGTTTCTTTGTTGTTACTGTTGCAATTGTGATTTGCTGTTTCAGTAAGCTTGGTTATGCTGTTATTTATCATGCTTTCTGTTGTGTTCTTGGGTTAGGTAGATACCTTGTTGGACCGTATAAAATGGGATGACAAAGGATTAGCTGTGGCAATAGCACAAAACGTTGATACTGGAGCGGTATTAATGCAAGGCTTTGTGAACAGGGAAGCCCTCTCTACAACCATCAGTTCTCGGAAGGCTACATTCTTCAGTCGATCAAGGTCAACCTTATGGACTAAGGGAGAGACATCCAATAACTTCATCAATATCCTCGATGTTTATATCGACTGCGATCGTGATTCGGTATGTTTGTCTGAACCTCATTGGTATTAGAATCTGACTACCTCTAGATACAATGTTATTCACAATCTCACTGGTTTGTGATTTCTCAGATAATCTACCTCGGGACACCAGATGGGCCGACCTGTCACACAGGGGCAGAGACTTGCTACTATACATCGGTTTTCGATCAATTAAATGATGATGAGGTTTGCTTCTGTGTAATTTGTTTGACCTTTACTTGTGAGACAAGAGATGATTTGAAATCGGAAGAAAATCAACAACTATTGACCCGCATCACAGGCTTCAGGAAACAAGCTAGCAGAAACAACATTGTACTCACTAGAATCAATAATCTCGAAGCGGAAAGAGGAATCAACAGTTCCCCAAGAAGGCAAACCGTCATGGACTCGACGGTTATTAACAGATGACGCTCTGCTTTGCTCAAAGATCAGGTTTATTGTTTGTCTATTTTCTACAATCGTAAGTTACAGATTATTATGCTAGATCCTTATGAAGCTTGCTTATTGGGTTTTGTGTATGCAGGGAAGAAGCCGACGAGTTATGCAGAACACTCGAGGATAAGGAAGAAGTTCCAAGAACCGCATCGGAGATGGCGGATTTGTTATACCACGCGATGGTGCTACTGTCTAAAAGAGATGTGAAGTTCGAAGATGTTCTTGAAGTTCTTAGGAAACGGTTCTCTCAATCTGGAATCGAAGAGAAGCAAAACCGCAAAAAGTGATCTTGTTCATTACAAAGAAGAGGTCTCACTCGTCTGTCTTGTTCAATTTACCGTTAAATGTAATGCGGGAATTAACGAATCCTATAATAATGTTCCAGCTTTTGTTTGTTAAATAATGGAACTACATGTATTGTAAAATTAAATAATCTGTTTATTGGAATAAAACTATTAAAATCATTTTTCATTCTTTATCCAATTCTACTTTGGCTATTGCATATCTAAGTGTTTAAATAAATAAGTTAAGGCTGGCAAATAAGC